TTTTCTCCCTTGTCTCTTTTTACTCATCTCTTGTTTTAGTTGTGAGTAACTATTAAGCCTACTCTGGACCTAACAGATAAAAACATTGGCGTTTTAATTTTCTTAATCAAAGTATCAAACCAAAGAACTTGTAGTTTGAACATTCTTTAATTTTATATTGCAATCATCTATTATTGGCTCTGGTTGTCTCAGACATATTTGGATCTCAAACTTTGGGAGTTTTGAAAAACACCGTTCGGTACCTTGAAGACGTTGTGTGTGAGTTCATGCTGCTTAAAGTTTATATTGTTTGCTAACATTAAAAGCAATCATTTGACTCCCTTCATCCTGGTATATATATTAGTCTATAATATATGTATGACTATGAGGGCTCTGATTACTTTTATATCGGAAACCACATTTATATTTCCTAAACCATATCACTTTTTCTACTTATTTTCTTAATATACATCCTTTTGATTTTTGGACCTCATGTTATAACTGGATATCATCTGTAGGCTTGTCAAAAGCTGAATCAAATTGAACTTGCTGACTGTGAAATCTATGCTTCTTGCGAGCCTTGTCCAATGTGCTTTGGTGCTATTCATCTTTCAAGAATTAAGGTGAGCCTGCCACACTATTCATATTTTCCTCTCACCACGTTTCTCTAGTTTTTATTAAATTGATCACATTGTTCATTCTGTTCACATCAAACAGAGACTGGTTTACGGAGCTAAAGCAGAAGCTGCAATAGCAATTGGTTTCGATGATTTCATAGCCGATGCACTGAGGGGCACTGGTTTTTATCAGAAAGCCCAGCTAGAGATAAAAAAGGCTGATGGCAGCGGTGCTGTTATCGCAGAACAAGTATTTGAGAAGACAAAAGCCAAGTTTCCTATGTATTGATTTGCTTCGATAGTCTTGTTATAGTTAACACAATATACAATTGGTCAGGAAAATTTCAATTTCTTGCTATAACTACATTCATGAATTCAATAAATGCACTATTTACGTACTCCTATGTCGGTGTTCGTTTATTCATATTGTTTGCTTAAGGCATTGCACATGCTTATTGATACATTAAATTTATGAATGATCTGTTTGATTGTTGAAGAGTTGTGTAGGAGGAGGGAAGGTAATTCAAACCAGAGAGAGAGACACTGAATCTACAAATGACAAGCCTGTCAGCTTAAGGCATTGCACATGCTTATTGATACATTAAATTTATGAATGATCTGTTTGATTGTTGAAGAGTTGTGTAGGAGGAGGGAAGGTAATTCAAACCAGAGAGAGAGACACTGAATCTACAAATGACAAGCCTGTCATGCACAAGAATCCAAGCTTGTCGTTCATATATATATATATAAGTAAGTTTCTTCTCTTCTATATAAGATTACAGAATTGCTACAGCTATTCTACTATTCATTGCAATTGTTGCTATTGAAGAAAGCACAACTGCTTCTGCACATCTGTGAGTAGTATAAAACTTGAGTCACCATCAGCTAGATCGCAACTCCTCCAATTTTGCCTTGATCTTATCCTGCAACAACTCCAACCGCTTCAAATACACCTCCAGCTCCAAAATCCTCCGTTTCCTCCATTGCTCATGGTCCACTTCCTCCAGGCACAACGGCATTGGGTTTGGTGCTAGCTCAGGAAGTGGCCCTTCCTGTGCTTCATCCAACACTTCATTCAGCAATGGTGGGAAACAGGACCTCATTGTCTCCTCAACGAAGCCCTGAATGGCAGTAGCAGTATCACCATGATTCTGCTCATTTGTTCTGTCCACATAATCTGCATCAAGCCGCAACCGCTTTGCCACTCTATTGTCCATTTCATCACTGTTGTCAACTTGTTCAATCCTCACCACCTTGACATCATCATTGCCAACATGATGATGACTTTCAGGAGTGCGTCCTGACTCATAACCATCCAAACAATCATGGTCCATTATATTATCTGCATCATTGCCCCAAATCTTGTGCGAAATTTCGAAAATGGCCTGATCCTGGGGGTTCCTAAAGGAAACCTCCTTGTCCCTACCTTTGTCCAAAGCCAACTTGTGTTTTCTCTTTAACCTTCGCAGCTTCTCAACAAGCTGGTGCCTGTTGAAATCCACGTTCAGTTTTGGCCTAACGTGATCATACAACGAGGCTACGTCGTTTTGGAGAGAAGTGGTTGCCCCCCCATGTTGCTTGAGGTAATCAAGATATCCCTTCAAGAGCTCCATCTCATCCTGCTTTGTCCACAGCCTATGATATTGTCTCACCATGCCGGAATACTTGGCAGTCCGCTGTCCTTTGGCCCGTGTTACTATAGTGGTGGCGCTGGCGGTGGCTGCAGCTGTGTTTCTGTCATCCTCGGCCGGGAAGGCGACCGTGACGGCGGGGGAGGCATTGGGAACGGCAAGAGCAATGGGAATGGTGTCATCCACGTCGTATGAAGTTAGAAAATGGTCGTTTTCATCATCTTGCACATTGAACCTTTGGTGGTTAATATCATTGTTATTGTCGTCATCATTATCAACTAGATTTTGTTCTTGTTCGGAAGAGGAGGAGGAAGAGGGGGGTGACAAGATCCAAGAAACGAAGGAGGAAAGCATAATTGTTGAGGAGAAAGCAGAGTTCCTTTTTGCGCATATTAGAGTATCAAGGTAGCCGTTTCTTCGTTTATGGCAGTTATGCATTTACTATAAATACGATGCATGTCTTTGCCTATAACCTGAGGGAAAAGAAACATCTCCTTTTAGATTCACGACTTATTATTTTTCTTTTAATTAAAGAGCAACAACAAAATATCATGTTAGAAAATCATTTATATTACGATTTTGTTTCAAATATGATTTGTTGACTAACGCAGTCATTCGGCCTAAAACAAAACTTGCGTTTCTCATATATATTTCTATAGACTTTCTACCAGTTTGCTGTAATTAGTTTCTTTTAGAATTTTTGCATGTCTTTACTAGAAAAATTATGTTCCCCCAATTTTTTTTTTATTACAAAAAATAATAATTATAAATATACATTCCGTTTTTGCTGCTTCACAGTCTTTGTCGGTTTTTTGTGATAAGTAAAAAGAAAGTATAATTTTTTATTTTTTTTAAATAATCTTAATACGAAATATTTACTATAAAAAATTAAAAAATAATGACTAATTTTTATTACGAACCGTAAATATATATAAAATAAACATATATAAAGTGAGTATTTTCTCTTGAAATAATTTATTTAACATAAAAAAAGTTTGCAACGTTATATTTATCTTAATATATTTTGAATAGTAATCGGTATTGATAAGGTTACTCGTATCATATTAATACTTTAATTGTTTAAATTTTGTCAATATGTCAAAGAATTTGGCGGTGATTCATTTTCTTATTAACTATTAGTATTGAGAAGCATTTATGTACATGCTCCTTCTTACTTTTCATCCATTTTCCATTTTTTACTCACAACTGATCCGTTCAATCTATCTAAGTTTTTATTTTATTTTTTTATTATTATCCCAATGTTAATGGTTAAATCACTTATGTTATTCAAAACTTGTGAGCATCTATTTCAAGTCATTTTAAAACTCCACATGCATGTAATAACACGGGAAACTTTCTTGCAAGTTCTAGTACATTCTAGCCTTTTAAGTTTTAAATGAAATAGTTTTTTTTCTAAGCTTTATTCACAAAATACTGTATTAAAGTAAAGATTACCAAGTATTGTTAACAACAAAACTAATATGATAGTAGACTTTCGGTGAACTAAACTATTGTAAACTTTCTGTTTAATCAAATTTAAATGAAATCTAAACAATTCAAAATCAGTTTACTTAAAAGTCTGGTTGATTATCTTCTCACTTTTTATTTTAAAAACTGTATCCTGTAAAAATGAGATCATTCATAAATTTAACGTATCAATAATCGTTTCCGACGCCTTAAACAAATACTACATGAGCAGATGAACACCAAGTACAATTTATTTCTCGAATTCATGAACCTACTTATAGTAAGAAATTTATGTTTTCCTAAACAATGGAAACTTGCATTCAGATTTTAAACTTGTCTTTGGTGTTCTCAAATACTTGTTCTGCCATTTCAGCAACACTGCCATCAGCCTATTTGATCTCTAAGTTGAACTGCTCATAAAAACCAGTGTTTCTCAGTGCACAGCAATAATACCATCAAATCCAATTGCTACTCCAGCTTCTGCTTTAGCTCCATAAATCAGTTTCTGTTTCAACGTAAACAGAATGAACAATGTGATCAATTTAATAAAAACGTGGTGAGAGGATAATATGAGTAATGAGGCATGCTCACCTTAATATTTGAAAAATGAATTGCAGTAAGGCACATTGGACAAGGCTCGCAAGAAACATAGATTTCACAGTCAGCAAGTTGAACTTGATTCAGCTTTAGAGCAGATGGCATCCAGTTAGTTATAACATGAGGTGCAAAATGATGTATATTAAAGAAAAACAGTAGAAAAGTGATATGGTTTGTGAAATATAAATGTGGTTTCCCATATAAAAATAACCATAGGCCTCATACATAAAGTGTTACTAGTAATATAAACAACTAAAACACGATTTTTTTAAATTTTCAGGGACTAAAAACAATAATTTTAAATTTGAGAGACCCAAAATAAAATTTATCCTAAATTTGAAACACTAAAAACATATTTAAACCTTTATTATTAAAGCTAACAATGTAAACTCACAAATAACCTAATCAAGGTTTGACAATTTTGATTAAGGAATGCAACTAAAGATTAAAGAATGCTCAAACTTCCTGTTATTTGTTTTGATACTTCGATTTTTTTGTTTTCCACATTTATCTTCCTTCAAAAGCAATCCTATTAAAGGCATGGTTTGGTACTAAATCTAGACACCTATCCGAATGGCAGGATATAAAGATTACAATTTCAAGGCCTCTTTGCTTTGATATTCCGTTCATTCTTTAGGTATGTGAATATGTAATACACGAAAGATTTCAGAAATCAACAAGAAAATTAATAACGGAAAAAATAATAATTATTAATTTAACCTCTAATAGCAATAATCTCAGCATGGGCACTGGGAATCCTGGGATCAGTGTTTCTTACAACCATGTTATGGCAACTTGCAACTATTTCATCATTTTGAACAATAACTGCACCAAATGGAAAACCATCTCCGCTTTCAACTGCCTTATATGCTTCTTCAATTGCTATTATTAGGAACTTGTCTTTTCTATCCTCCGCAGCAGGTATAACAAGAGAAAATAACACCAATAAGATAATCAATGGAAGAACGTGTCTACTGCTAAGCAACCACTCACAAATTTGGTAAATATCGAATAAATTTATTACATACTGTAGAGAAAAATTGAGGAATCATCACTCAAGATGTGCATCAAACTCTTTGAATTGAATCACAATTTCAAGTATAGCATATTAACATTTATATGTTCTATTTTAACAATATCACATGTTGACACAGGTAAAATAGCATGTGATTTTTAGGCACAACACAATCTTATAAAACTGATTTTTAAAGTGAGAATTATCCTCATTTATATACTCTATTTTTGTCATATAATAAGTTGATATGATATTTTCAATACTACTCTTTACATTGAGGATTAAATATCTTGAATATGATGTTAAAATTTGCGAGACTTAACATTTGTAAATAATTCATGACACAATAGATCCAACAACAATAATTAAAATAAATTCTAATACTATTTTAAGAATGTGAATTTTCGATCGAAGTCCCAACCCAACCTTACAAATTTAATTTGTAAGGAGAGATAATTGTCTTCACTTATACATTTTATTTTGGTTATATCACTAGTCACTCAATATAAAATTTCTTACACACTCTCTCATACGAAGCACTTGAGTGTTGAATTCACTAGACATTATATCCCATCTAATTATAAAGGCCTAAAAGCAAGTGGGATGGATCGATACTCATAAAAATAATTGATAAGATAGATTCTTATATTTTTTTTTAAAATGTGAGTTTGATAATTCAACTTTACAAAATTAAGTTGTAAGTTAATGATTACACTTACTTCTATACTCTATTTTTACCATATTACTAATTAAGGTGTGATTTCCAAAGATAAGAAACTCATATTCAGGTTTTCATAAGATGTAAATCTGGTACTGTGATTCAAAGGCATGTTTTACTGACTTTCCTGGAATCACGATTTATTTTGTTGTCAGTTGGAGTATGGTGGTGTTTTTTGCATAAGTAGCGGAGAACATGTTTTGATAAAAAGCTTGGTGTTTTTGGAGATGAGACAGCAGAGATCAGGATATGGTTTTGCCTCCATAGTGCAAGTTGACAATATAACATTAAATACTTGAACACTAACGACAACAATTGAAGAGCATTAAGTAAAGGGAAGCAGAACCTAAAACAAAAGCGATAAGTATGAAGAATTTTACTTACCATTAGCAGTAGCAGCATCCTCCATGATGGTATTCGGATTGGACGAGAAAGAGAACAGAATCTAGAAAATGGATACACAAAAAGAGAACACTAGAGAAACTGGACTGCGATTTTCCCTTGAATAGCATAAATATTTTTTTAAAAAAATTAATAAAGATTGAATCATACAATTTAATTAATGATTCATCAATTTAACCTCTAACCTACTATACCAGTTTTTAAAATATTGATTAGATGTCTTCATTGCTCTTCTATATAGGACTGATAATCTTCACCATCTTAACACCATCAAAATTGTCGCATCTAGATCATTTAACTAAACGTATGTTCACACACATTGATTTTATGTCTTCGCTTTCGAAAGGCTGAACCTTGGTTTGTGTAGAAACTTCAGCCACTGTAGCATAAAACGAGCAAAAAATGGGAAGAACCCCATGGTTTTCCTTCGAAGGATATTAGGTTTAGAGAGTATCGAATATTCACATGAAAGGACTAACGTCTTCTTTTTTTTAGCAGAAAGGACTACGTTAAACCCTCTAAAAAGCTGGAAATAAAAATTTGTAGTTTCACTTTGATGTCCATTAATTTGGAGAAGTACGTGTCTTGTTTTATGTTCACTCAATGGTAGGTCCACATTTAACAGTCCACGTAAATAAAATCGTTTCCCAACGGGAGTTGCTTGTCCCATGAAGCAACTCAAGCCCCGATTTCTTACTATTGGAGGATTCTGACGTGGCACCATGAGTTGCTTGAAGAAGAGAGAGAGTTGCTTCCTCAAGCAACTGTTCCTTACGAGATTTCAAGCAAATCTTATTGAACATATTTGGGAACGTTTCGAAAATAATAATGATGAAAATTAATTTCGTATAATATCTATGTATTTATTATTATTTTATTTTATTTTTAATATCTACTTATTGTGTATTTTTTCTCGTAATTTATTTTCTTTCATTGTAGTGCAATTATCCTTTTTAATAAAAATTTAAAATTGGTTCATAAATGATTAGAAAAAAAATTCTAAAAGTTGAATTTCTTAAAATTTCTTACCATTGGAGTAAATTTGTGTTTGAGTTGCTTAATACTGACATGGCACACTCGAGATCACTTTTTTCATTTTTCAATGCATGAAGCAACTCAAATGAGGTGCTTCCATTGGAGATACCCTAACGTGATAAACGACTTCTAAATTTAGGGATTATTTTTTGTTACACGAAATTAAGGACTAACATCACATTCCAAAATGTTCCTTTACTTAAATAATAAATCAACTTTAATATTAAATATAAATGGTTATCTTTGAGAAAATTATTTTAAACGTTTTTTTATCTTTTATCTAATTTAATTTTTATAATTAATTAATTTTAAAATAAATTATTAATAAAAATAATTTTATGTTATAATATGAATAGTTTATTATAAATCTAAAATATAATTTTTAATTTTAAAAATATCTATTTTATACAAATTTTAAATATAACTTATATATTTAAATGTATAGTATTTATTTGTATATAATTTATTATATATGTCAAATTATACTTTTCCTCTTTTATCTTATTTTTAAATTCATATTTATCCCTTATCTATTAAAATATTCATTTTCATCACTTATTTTTTACATTTGAATTGATTTGGTGCATTTAAAACAATAATAATTTTTAATTTTGTGACATAATTTTGATTCAATTTATGACTAGTTTAATATGTGAAACTTTTAGCATTAACTTTACCTATATGAAAATTATGAAATTAAATTGATATTTGTATCCAAAAAAGACTATTAACATAATGAAAATTGTATATAAACTATCACACAAGCAACTAAAAAATAATGTGAAATTAATTTTTTTAAAAAAATTCAATTACTTTCTGTACTTATTTTTATATGATTTTCACTTGTTTATAATTTTTTTTTGTTTAAACTTCCACTGCATTCAATATCTTTTTATATAAGTGAATCTAATGAGATAAATTTCAAGTTTTAAATTAATAAAAAAAATAATTCAAAATTATGTCTCAAAATTAAAAAATTGTTATTATTTTAAAAGGATTAAATTTATTCAAATTTAGGAAATAGATGACCAAATTGAACATTTAAAAAAATAAAAGATCAAAATGAATATAATAAATAAAATAAAAAAATATAATTTAATTTATATAACATACATTTAATTTGTATATTGATCGTATTAAAATACCGATAAATATAAAGAAGGTATTAGGTAACTTGATTACGTGAACGGAAAACGTCACCAGGTAATTGCTCAAATCTAAAAAGCACGGAGTTTCGGCAATGTTTGAAGGTTTGAAGTTTCAACTGCTACCATCTGGATTTTGATATAGACACACTATTACATGCACACACGCAACACAACAAATTTAAAATCAGGGAAGGTTTCAAGTTCCTTCCATCGTAGCCGAGTTTCCATTTTTTTCTCTCTATTTTATATATATATAATTTTGAGTGTATAAATGACATTAAATATTAATTATATTTTATGATTAATATTTAATGTCATTAAACTAATATTTTAGTTTTGAAATGGTTTAAAATAGATGTTTTTTTATATAATAAATAAATTATATCATAATTCAAATACTTAATGAATAGTATTTTTAAAATATATTATTTTTATTTTATATTTATAATAAATAATTTAAATTATATTATAAATTAGTTTTAAATATTGATAATTTTTTGGGTATATTGATGAATAAAAATAAACAAAGAGAAATACATAAAATTAAAACCAACTTCATGCAAAATGAAATTTGGAGGACTTCTCTAATTAACAAACATCGAACAAAATTTTACTCTTCATCCGACCAACCCATGAGTAACAACATTACTTTCTTTAGGAATATTTTCGCAATACATCTGTCAATGACCAGCTAAAAATTCTCTAATATTAAAATGCCAAATCCATCATGTCCTAATTGTTAACCTCGCTACATCTAGATGATTAACTAAGTTCTTGAGCCATAATAATTCTTATCTGCATCCACATTTCTCTCGAATGAGGATGGTCATGCACAACATGTAGTATAGATTACATCCCGTGTGAACATCTCATACAAACTCCACTCAGCTAAATTATTTCATAGTCAAACCTCATTAACTGGAAAGGAATTATGCAGACCATACTAAAGAAAGAACTTCATCTTCTCCAATATAGACAATTTCCAAAGATGTTTCCAATCTGAAGTTTTCCCAACTTGTCCCTCCATGCATAATGATTGGAATCCCATTATTGCAGTATAGTTATGTGATGGGTCATCCATCTAATCAAACATGACAACCCCTAACGAATTCATAGGTATATGCACCTGTAAAATGCAATTAGCCACATCTTGAGGGAGTAATGTGTATACAAATTGTTCAAGTTCCAAGAACCCTCATGGCAGTATTCAGCAACTTTGATCTCAAAATCACTAATGTGTACGTAGGGAACCAGCTAACATAGTAATCCCACTCCCAACCAATTTTCATACTAAAAAGAGGAACTTTTTAAATCAAGACAAGGAGTAAAGCCATCCTTAATAAATGATAATGCTTTAAGAATGCATTTCTAAACATAAGATTGCTTGTGTTGTTCTACCTTAGACAACACTGAGTGACCTCTCAAATATTTATTCCATAAGAACTGCACCTAAGGCATATATGGTGAACTCAATAGCTCCTAGATCAACTTACTAAGAAGGGCTATGTTCACCAATTGTAATCCTCGTATGTTTAATCCACCATGCACAAGCATTTGAGTGGCCATGAACCATCCCACCAAAGCCCATAACCAAAAAATGCAATCTTTCACCCATAGCATCGATTGACACACTTTGCTAATAATGTTATAGATACCTTGCAGGAACCACAAAGACTGCATACTATAAACAGGAATCGAGGTTAATGTGAACTTGATGCGACATAACTCACCAACTTTATTCAGTAACCTTCATTTCCAGGCAACTAATCTCCCACCCATACAATCAACAACATGTTATAAATTTGCAACTTAGCCCTTCCCTGAATCATTGGCATACCCAAATGCTTCCTCATGCAACTATTATCGTACATATTTAGAATTTGTTGAAACCTCTCTATTCTTGGGCTTCCCACCTTCTTAGACACCATGAATTTAGACTTGTCATAATTTCCCTTCAAACTCAACGTAGCATAGAAGACCTCTAAGATTGAAGCTACCAGTTGCACCTATTATTCCATGGTAGAACAAAATAAGAAAATATTGTTTGCAAATAACAAATGAGACAAAGGTGGACCTCCCTGTGATATTTGAATAGCTTCCTAAGACTCTTCTTTATTTAGCTCATGGATGCAAAGAACAAGTCTCTCTATGTAGAGCATGAAAAGATATGAGGAGGGAGGATCCTTGTACCTAAGACCCCAAGAAGGTTGAAAGGGTTGCAACTTTTCTTCATTCTAAAGCACTAACAATGTAGAGTTATCAACTCTCCACTGATCAATTGGATGATACGAGCAAGAAACCAAATTTATGTAGGGTAGCCTAAAGAAAATCCTAACTCACAATCATACACCTTCTTAAGGTTGGTTTTCAATGTCATAGTTCTCGTAGCAGTTTTATCCTCGGATATAAAATGAAAAGTCTCTTGTGTAAGGATAATATTATCAAGTGTTCCTCTTCCTAGTATGAAACTTCCTTGGAAAGGTCCAATGATATTATAGAGATAAGGACACAATTGTATCACTATCACTTTTGATATAACCTTATACGCTACATTACGCAAATTGATCAAGCGAAAGTCTTCAAGGTTAGACGGGTTGTCTATCTTCAAGATGAGCACGATTAACGTTCAAGAAAAGATCCATCTGAGAAGTCATGGAGAAATGTTTCACACACTGTCATCCAATGTTTGTCACCCATAATGTGCCAATATTGTTTTATAAAAGAACGGTTGAAATTCATCTAGCCTAGGCACCTTAAAAGATTTCATGCTCATAACAACCCTTTTAACATCTTCTTTAGATACCAAAGCCAAGAAGGTGGCTACAACCTCTTATCTCAAAATCGAAGGAACACCTAAATGCATGTCCACAAAAGCACCATGTGATTCCTTCTTGAAAAGCTCCTAATAGAAGCGAAAAACTTCGTTGTTAAGGACATCTAGATTTGTATACCACGTGCCATATGGTAGAAACAAGCTTCGAATCTTGTTTCTTCTTCTCTAGGCAAGGGTTTGAGCATGGAAATAGCTAGTATTCCTATCACCAAACTTCACCTTCTTCTTTATAGACTTTTGAAACTATAAAAATTCTTCTTGCAATAAAACCTCCTCCAACTCAACTTGGAGAGTACCTTCCAGCTAGGAAAGGCTCTCAAACCCCCTCTTCTCAAGCTCTAACTAAACCCCTTTCAACCTTGCCTTTACAGTTTTTTTCCAGGTTGTAATATTTCTAAACACACAAATAAACTCTAATGCATTAGTCCTAACATCTTTCAATATATGAGCAAGGATAAGGGTGCTCCTAATCCAAGCCTCGCGGACCACCTTCTCAAACCCCTTATGCATGGACCAAGTAGTCTGAAAACAAAATGAATGGTCCCTTCATTTATCTTTTAGATCACCACACAACACAAGGGTAGGGCAATGATCTAAATAAGTCAGACACAAAACCTCCACATAAGCTTTTAAAAAGAAAGACTACCATGGTATGTTACAAACAACTCTATCAATCCTTTTAGCCATCGTTGTGCCTAGTTGCTTCCGATACCAAGTGTATCTAAGACCTTTAGAGCCAAGGTCTATCAAGGAACACTCATTCATGAGTTGCACCAATTGGGAGGCACTAGAAGAAGAGAAACGACACTCTCAAATCTTTGAGCTAGAGATGGCCTTGTTGAAATCTTAGTACGAGCTAAGGCACCACCAATTGGCTTTTAAGACTCCTGATATGATTCCTACACCTTTGTTCTTTGACTAAAGCTAGGACTTGCATACACAATTGTGCATGTCCACTCCTTGCAACCTTGCTTGATTAAAACCATAGCTATTTAAGGCAAAGAAAATAACTCATGATGTTTGACTATCTTTCTCAGTTAGGATTCATATGCCTCCAGCATGGCCTCTAGCCTCCACACTATGATGCAACTTATAGTTTGCTTCAAAATGAGGCAACTAACGAGAATGAGCAATGGGTTTCTAACACTATGAAAATAGAAGGTTTGTGTAACCTAACCAACTCACAAGCCCTTCTTTTTTCTTTTGCATTCACTACGCCTCTAATGTTCTAACAAATAATGTTATGATTATCTAACATGAGAAATCTGTTAAAGTGGTAAAGTTCTCCTCAAGAGAGCATATCATCACAAGTTATATCCTTGACCTTGGGATGTCCCTCATGATCATCCTGGTTTCCATCCTACACCACACTTTAGACCTCCTCTATGAGATCCTCATCATAATACGTATACTAGGTATCCTCAACATGTTTGATGAAGAGGGCAGACTTAAACTCTACAATTCAAGGAGTAATACTCTGAGTAGGCCTTGGCTTTGGGTTAACCTCCTCAATGTTAATCATGTCAACGTGCATGCTTGGATCACCTACATCAACACGACCCCATTTCTTCTTTTTCCTTGCAACCTCGTGCACCCCTTTATTAGGCCTAACCCTATTTTCCAACATAATATGAACATTGGGCACCTCATGGTTATTCATATTTTTGGATAATGTTAGGGACCCACCTGTAATAGTTAAGATATTTCCTCTCGTGCCTATCTTGCTAAAATCTTTATCCCTCACCAATCCATTCATGAATTGTGTTGCAAATAATTTTCTTCTATTTTATTTCCATGATTTCCATTTCATAATCAACTAATCCCTATGCGGTTGGAAAAAATTCATCGAGACATATGGGATCTCATGATTACTTTTCTCCTCCATCTTCTCATTAGTGTTGCCATCTCCACTCAATGTTGACGGACCTCCACCCTTTGTCATTAACTCCCTACTTTGGGCACACTTCTCCATCGCTGCAAAAGGACTTGCGCACATATGGACAACATGGTTATAACAACCACACATGGTACAATATAAATGCAAGCCTTCGTATTTTATTTTGTACCATACCTTGTTGAGATTAAACCTGCCTAATACCGATTTATGGAGGTCAATTTCAATACAGACTCTGGCAAACCTCCCTCTAATCATATTAAGGGTGTTGAGATCCACCTTAATTAGCCTTCCCATCACCAACGCTATGGTAAGAAGAACGCCCTTATCATAAAACACCATGCCTAACCCCAAAAAGTGATCCCAAACAAGAATTTTATCCTCTTTTGCCTTAGACGTCACAAACTCTGATGACCATTGCTTGACAGTCAAGTAATGATTAAAGAACATTCATAGACCTCCTTGCATTACATGCTCCTTATCAATATTAAGATCAAATTTCACCATGAAATAGTCATATGATATATTAATTACCTCAAAACCCCTTTGTAATTTCCAAAGAGTTTGCATAATAATGAAACCAATGCTTTTTCCCAACAACTTCACTACTAGACATTGTTTCCATGGTTCTCATAGCTTCACAAAGGTTGATTCAATAATAGTGAACTTAGGAAGGAGACAATCACCATCCTTATACTCCAAGGACATAATACCCTCCTTAAGGATATCATGTACCAGAGAGGATATTGAAGACCCCCTATAATCTTTTCCTTGAACATTTCACCTGATCGATCAGTGTCTCCCTCTCCATCTAGAGGCTCTAACAGCTTCTTAGTATTCCTTGACATAGAGAAAATCTTAGCAATCATTTTTTTTACTAAATTAAATAAATAAATATTGATATTTAAAAATCATTTAAATTAATTTAGATATATAGAAAAAAATGATAAAATGAAAGAAATATAATTAAAAAGATTGAGTATATAAATAAAATAAAATAAATACTTATTTGAAATGGTTAATAGAAATTTTTTTAATTAGTGGCAATGATGGTATATGAAGTGCACATTCAAAAGAGAAGATAATTTTGAAAACATCTAATCGAGATAATAAAAAAAATTAGGATGTTGCCTACAAATTATGTATTTTAACTAATTATAATTTGTCTATAATTAATTATAAATTCTTATCTATATATTTTAATTCCAAGTTTACTATATATTTTTATCAATTATACAACAATATTTTATGAAATAATTGTTTATTTTTACATATTGATGAAACTAAAAAGAAAATAACAAGACTAAAATCAAATCAAAATAGATGATAATATATTAGTGTAGAAAATTTTACTTTAATGTTTAATTACTATTCAAATTATGATTTAAAAAATTAATAATTTTACTGTATAAAGAATATATTTAAAAATATTGAATCGACATTTTAATAAAAAAGTTGACTAAAGGTTATTAAATTAATGAATAAAGAAAATGATGTGGGGCAAGGCAACTCGGTGGGTCCACTACCTAATAAATTAATAATCCACCTCCCAGATTCTCATTCTTATTCTTATTGTTAATGTTATTGGCACCGAGTGAAGTGACTCCAACAAATCCCGTGAAAGAAAACACTCCCTACGCCCTTCGCCTACTCAATTCCCATGGCATCCGATCTAAACGACGCCGTTTTCCCCGAAGAAGATCTCGACGACGACGAGGACGAGACTCAAGAGGAAGAAGAGGAGGACGACGAAGACGACGACGTTTTAGGCGAGCCCGACGACGACGAAACCGAGCCCCCTCCCTCCGTCCTCGCCGCCGCGCCCCTTTCCGCCGCCTCCCAAGCCCTCGACACCGCGTCAATTCCGACCTCCGCCGACGATTCCTCGCCGAAACGACAGCGGACAGAGCAAGTCGAGGAGAAGAAGGCGCTGGACGATTCTCGGCGGCTGTTCCAGCGTCTGTGGACGGACGAGGACGAGATCGGGCTTCTGCAGGGGTTTCTGGAGTACACGGCGCAGCGAGGATCCTCTCACCACAACGACACCGCGTTGTTCTACGACCAGATCAAGTCGAAGCTTCAACTCGGTTTCAACAAGAACCAGCTCGTGGAGAAGCTCCGCAGGCTGAAGAAGAAGTATCGCAACGTCGTCGGCAAACTCGGCTCCGGCAAGGAGTTCTCCTTCAAGAGCCCTCACGACAGAGCCACCTTCGAAATCTCGCGGAGGATCTGGAGCAACACCGCTCCAGTCGCCGCTCCCGAAGACGACGACGAAATCAACCCTAACCCTAATTTCGGTCATTCCGTGAAGACGCCGCTGTCGCGGAAGCGGTCGCGGCCTCGACCGGAGAAGCGCGAGTTGAACGATAGGGGTAATAATTGTATTGGAAATAATAACAATAACAATAAAGATAATGAAAGTTGTGATAGTAGGAATAACGTACAGGTTGTGATCGAAGAGACGGTAAGGAGTTGTTTGACGCCGGTGCTGAAGGAGTTCGTGGGATTGGTAAGAGGGTTTGGAGTTGGAGCATTGAATCCCTTGCCAATGCCTTTGATTTTATTGAATTTGGGGATTGGGGAAATGGCGATGGATGAGAAGTGGAGGAGGCAACATATTTTGGAGATGGAAGTTTATTCAAAGCGTTTGGAATTGATGCAGGATGAGATCAAGGTTGCTCTCGAGGAGTTGCGATCTTCTGGAGGAGGATGAGAATGACCCAATATAAAACTAAGTTTATAGGTGTTTTACTTTATAAGGATTTACATTTACTTGCTAATTATTGATCCATCAATGGTTTGATAGGCTACTTTTTATCATTTTTATTAGTTTAGGTTTTGATTATTGCATACAGCAGATGTTGAATAAAATGTTCTTGTTTATATTTTGTCTTCTGTAAATTTTTCTTGTTTGCTAATTAACAATTCACATGTACATATAGAATCAGGGAATTGGCACAAGATTTGTAAAGTATGCAATTGAGAGTGAGTTGTCTTATGAAAGGAGTTGCTCCTTTTGTTATATTACACGTAGTACCTCGCGGGGCTTTGGGGTTTGTAATTTCTGAGCTCTGGTGTTTTGGTTGGATTGGGTATGCAATGGCATATTCTAGATCCAGAGACTTCTTTTGGGTGATTCATGTCATACTTTTTTAAGCTCTTTTTCATTGGTATTCAGCCATCTGTGGGATCATTTGCGGATTTGCACATACTGGAAGCACCGAAAGTTAAAGAGCAGTTTCTGTAGACAGTTTTTTCCTTTTCCCCCTCCGGCTGGTTTATTGCCATCACTAGATAATTCCGGTAAAGTGGAACTGTTGAAGTGTGCACTACTTTTCCAATTATTTAATTATTAGTCTATCCGATATCATCTGCATTTCTGCGTACGTGCGATCATACTGGTTCAACTTCCACATTCGAAATTCCTGAATATAATAATGACAATGCCAATTCGCCGGTCACGTGGCAAAAAGAATGCAAGGGAAACAAAATATATAAAAATATGCAAACTCGACGCACTTGTAAGTGTTAAAACAAGGAAATAAAAAATTGCTGCTTATAATTTCTTTCCTTGAAATAATTTCAGAATAAACTACATTACCCATCTATTTATTCAACTTATTCTGAAATACTAGCTCGGTCTGAACTGTGTCAACGTCAAACGCAAAATCTTTTTTGTTTTCTACGATTTTTATTTTAATACAGGATTGTTGGGTCAAAATTGATTTTACCCTTTGATCGATTCAATAGAGATTGGACCCCTCACCAAATATAGCTGAGCGGAATTGTCGGTCACTATAGCAGCTCGCTCCATGTAATAGTTTCAATATCCCATGCCGCATAGAGATGCCGGACATGAAAATCCCAAACAAATATCCTACATTTCCCAATAAACAAATCAAATTGTATTCATATCAGGTATGTACAAATTAATTGTTATACAAATCTAGTAAGCCCTACAGGATTTTAAATACACAACACTAACAAGGTTCCATACCATGGAACAAAACAACACTTGTACTGATTCCTAGCCCGTAACTTGTGTTTTACAACTCGCAAGTTTTCCACCAATCTATATACCGGTTCCATGACTATTTCTTTGAAACTTGAAATACTACAAGTTAGCGAATATCTGGCTAGTTCTTGCACCTCTCCAAATCCTGGACAACTATCAGTGAGGTCTCATGTCTATTCAATACACAGCGACAACACGTCTATACTTCACATTAGAGTCAAATAAACATTGAACAGTGAACAGCATTGCTCTGCCAATGGCACTATGGCGTCGAATTGCAATCAAATCAGTGCACCCCTACAATCGATTACTGAACTAGGTTGACCATAAAGAGAGCGCATAACTGCAATTTCAGGGGCGGGCAGCTAGAAGAAAAGGCACCTCAGATAAATTCCACAACCACCACTATTGTTTCCCGTGTTCTGGTGTATCTGGCTGACGTGTTTTAACTTGGTAAACCTTTTTTGTCTGCTTATCACGAGCTGCTGCCCCCAATGCAGCTTCTTGATGCCTAGTATGCATCCCATTCATAGGTGGTGCTTTAGTTATCCACTTTGGAGGTGGTAGCGAAGGACCCACTTTCTTTACAAACACAGGTTGTAAATTGGTTATTGGTCTGGAATTTGGAAGTCTCGAACTCGATGACCTAAGTCTCTCTCCTTCCTTTAATGTTAAAGAAGAAAACTCAGTTTTCACATTGTGGAACTGTTCTTGATGCTGTAGCCTATCTTGAATCTTAAAATTCTGTCTTTCATTCTGTCCACCATATCTAGGTCTAGTCATTGCGCGATGGTGATTATATTGTCCATAATAACCACTTGTTTTCTCACTATAATATTTTTCATATCCAGCTGATTGAAGCCTGTTCATTGTATAATGACCTGGAGGTTGCTCCGGCAATCCATGGGATGTATCATTTGATTTAATGTTGAGGGTGTTCTTAACAAGTCGATGAGCTGCTTCTCCTAGTTGAGATCCGGCTATTGCTCCATGTACTTGTGGCCTGTTGGATGCATCACATACAGAAAGGTAAGGCAAGTCTCTCAAATATAATAAATATCAGGTTTCAAGCATCAAGAAAATTATATGCTTGGCTTGAAAGCCTTCAAGAACTTTTCAACTTCCACAACATTGATCTTTCTAGACTTTCCACACAAGTATATTCCTTGAAGCAAATACTGATAGTTGCTTCTCGGAAATTTGTGAATACAGGACAACGAGCTGCAATTCCATATCACCAATTTGATTCACATGATTCAGTGATTCGTTAGTTTTTGTTCTTTTTTGTTTTTCTTTCATGAATTCTCATCAAAGAAGTTGAAAAATTAAATATGCTTAAATTTTTAAAGGAAAAAGACCTGAAGAGCACTAATGAATGCACTCTATTTATTTATCAATTGCTCTGTTTTCATTCTTTTGAGGTATGGACTTTCACACAATCACTCACTCACTCATTCTTTTGAAGTATGACTCACGAGTTCACTCAATCACTTGTTATGTATTACAGGTTTTTATATATTAGCTTCTATATAGGTTGATAATGGGACACAATTTTAGTCAACTTGTGGTTAACATGTTTTGTAAATTATTAAAAATATTACATTAAGGTTCAGCACAATTACATCATTTAATAAGATGAATTTCAAGCTATTTTTAATTGTTTCTGGATCTTACAATTCAATATAATTTATGATACAAGAATTAATTTGGCAGTTAAGAATATGATAACCTTTGGAACATTAAACATAACCCCATCAATTTGCAATATTGTATGTTTGAATTCCAGCCAGCAAGAACATGAAAATTATATCACAGCAACCTGACATCCTCATACAAATAGATTCTCACCTTTCTCTTGCTTGCTGTCGCTGACCAACATTGTCCTCATGCCATAGCACAGGAAGAGGTTTAATATCAATGGCTCTTAATACCTGCAAACAAAAGCAACATGAAAGTGTGGTCTGTTAGACTTTATAATAGAACCAATAAGGAAACAGCAGGTATAGTTTAAATTATAGGGGGAGGAAGAGAGAGAGAACCAAATATTTTGTAAAGAATTTAAACAATGGGAATGCTTTATTGTTCAGTAAAATTTAGTGCATTGGTTATGCACTACATATATAAGCTTTTAGTGGAGACTATTTCCTAGGATAATCTTGAGTGAAACAGACTCCCTAGACACCAACATCCATGAACACTAAATGCATTAACTGTTTCCCAAGTATATTTACTGTTATTATTCCTAACATGTCTCACCATCTAATTAAATGCCGATTATCTGACCCTAGTTAATAGTTATTTGCACAAGAATGTGCTTCTATGAATAAATAAACAGTCATGTATTGTAGCTCCATCAGCTGGATGAACTAATTAACCTTTCAAGTCAGATGCAAAGAGCTCAATCAGAGTATACAAACCTTTTGGGGCATTACTACACCATCTGGAGGTTTTGGGATATGATCATGTCTACAAGGATTAAGAAATGTAATATTTCTGAAATTAAAAAACACCCAAGATGAGTTCTCTACAGAGGATTAAAACATTCTGTAGGTGAAGTTGTAGAGGAAAAAACTTACAAGACTTGGTTACATTCAATATCCGGCAATCCGCTGATGGGTGAAGATACAACAGTGCTGAAAACATTTCTTTCACATAACCAAAGATATCCAATCATCCCACCACTACTAACAAAAGTAACAAAACAAGCATGAGCCAATTAAATAGCTACCAAAATTCATGAATGATGAGTTATGATCATTAAGAGATTCACCAACCTAGCATTTGTGTCAATTGGCCAAACACCTCTTTCATGCAGGGGTAATTGACTACAAACATGGTAATAGGATAAGATATGTGAAGCCAAATCATGTGAATGATTGACATATAGCAAATCAAGCATCACACTATTCCGAAGTTGTTGTTCCTCCTGCATATAACAAAACTGAAATTAAGCACTAAAGATACAAATAAGAAATAGCTGTCAATTCTTTTGCAATAAATCATGATCAACTCTGACAAAAAACATATCAGCTATGTTCCTGTTTGAAATATCTATTGAAGTAAAGATCAAAAGCAAAATCTTCCAACAATTGGGTATCAAAAATAGAACAGATGAGGCTAATTAACACCGACAAATTTTATCTATTTAAAACGCTACAGCCAATCAACACTTGACAATTCCTACTTCAAGAGTTGCAGCTGCATTTCCTCCTGCTAAACTGCTGGACACACATTTTATGTAACTCTGATCTTATTTTGATAGTAATTGTAGAATAAATAAAAAATCTATGGAGAGACACAACTCTGATAATTAGTGGTTGCATTTTCTAGTTACTGCATAATCTTAAAAATGAAAATTTTCCTAGTGGATTCAAGAAGAACTACAAGGTTTAATTTTACAGTTTACTTTTTCATGCAATTCAACAACCAACAACTTTGGACCATGAAACTAGTACTATTAGTCAATAAATCATATGAATACTAACAAGCCCGCCCCCCCCC